CAAAAGTCATAAAATGAGGCAAAAACGTGACAGCAGCTCTGAGTCGTTTTGTATTTTTGTGGTTTGATTTCAGTTGTGTGTGTGTGTTTTTTTCTTTCAGGACTTTGTTTTCTTTGCAGTTCAACTCAGGGCCTCTCTGAAGTTTGGCCTTGGGTTTTAAGTGCAAACTTTTTTTGACCCAATTTGGTTCAGTTATCAAATGCGTTGTAGAGTAAGAAAATCTCTTAATCCCCAAACCAAATGTTCACCATATGGTGGACTATTTTTATTTCCTAGAGATGAGAAAGAAAAGGTTAAAAATACTCCACTTTTTGTGACTTAAAGTGCTTAAATAAGCGTAGGAACGACATGAATCAGAACAAATCACTGGTATTGCTACACCTAAACAACTTCTGATAGTGTCAACCACATAGTTCAACTATATAAGGTCTGACTGATTGCAATCTCTAGAACTGTCCTCACGCCCTTATCACACCACTGTCAAATTAACTGGACATTTTAGATTACAGTTCATTTGCATACGTTTGACTTAAACCATGGCATACGCCAAAAGCTAAATTTAAGTTACCGCATTTAAAAAAAAATCTATGCATCCTATAACATGTAGATTTTGATAGTTGATGCAGAGTTTTAAATTGTCGTCCTCCCTACTGAACAATTGATGAACTTTTTAATTTAATTTTTGATATGCGACTCATTTTACTGAGTTTTACTGTAAAATTCTGTAAAATTCTGGCTCAAAGACTAAGTTCAGTCTTTGAGCCAGACATTTGGAGAGAGAACCTCACCATGTAACGCTGAGCACTAGCTATCGACCGTTCAGATCTGGTCAAAGACCTCAGACCAATTTAATATCGGAATATATTTTCAAATAGTAAGCAAGAGAAAAGTGTAGTAGCTTTTTATTACCCAGCTAAGTGTCAGTAGGAAAGGGCAGGGAAACTATAAGAACATGACAGAAAATATTTGCATGTTTCAGTACCAGTAACTAACCCATCCCTAGAATCTGTACCACGTACCGCAAAACATTTAAAATGAAAGTTATAATTTTGCTAACAGACCCAATTTTTTTTTTTTTTTTTTTTTTTTTTTTTTTGGATCTGTAGCATTGAGAGATTTGAAATGTATGATTTTATTTTCAAATTGCCCCCCCCCAAAAATATTTTTTTATTTGCAATATTATATTAATATGAGATATAAAACTGATCCTGAAGTGACCAGATTATTTATTTTAAATTATTTACAATACAGATACCTGTCTGTATTGTAAAGGAACTATATCATGGTGTTAATATTTTATTATGCAAAACTTAAAATGCTATTGTATTTAAGTATAATTTTACGGCCAGAGCCACGCTTGTAAAAATTTGATGCCGATATCTGATAGTCTGGGAAGAAGTTATGAAATCAGCCCTGAAGCATCCTTCAGTCTCTCTGACGCCTGGAGAAGGCTGAGGAGACGAGCAGCCTGCCGTTAAAAACCTCACACTACTTATCTGACAACATCGAAGAAAGCAGGATTGAGAAGTTGCTTGTCTTAACAAAGAAACTAACATTATTTTCTGCAAATGGTTCAAATGCCCTAATGTCTCAAAATAGACATGTAAAGAAGAAAACATACATAATGAAGCCAATGATGTACTTACATCAGTGGAAGTCTCAAATCACATGAATATGTTTGTGCATGCAATTAAAGGACTACTTTACATAGTCCTCCTGCCCACTCAAGGAGATAACTAACACCTGCCACACACTAAGTTCAGCTGTTTGGTTGTTGTTTTTTTAAATCCTCTTTCTGCATTATTCACCTTTTTACTTGGCAAATATTCAGAAGACTGTGGAGCAGAGCCGTGCAGACCACTGTATAATTTACAGCACTGTGGCTGAATCGCTAAAAGTATTTGCACTTTGCAGTTTGTTTCTGTTATTCCTGCTCTGTTAATGAGCGTTTCGCTTTATAAACCGTTAAATCTGCATGACAATGAATTCTCAGGAGGAAGAACAGCAACACAGCAGGTGACCCACAAGCTGCGGCGAGACTCAACACAAAAATAAACAGAGGCGACACTCATGAAACGCCATGTCCCAATGTAGATATGCCTCAACTGATAACGGTGTTTTCTCTTCTGCAGCATTCCTCAAATTCTATTGACTCCTCCTGCACAGCCTCATTTTGCCTGTTTGACTTGAGGCTAAAACAAAGAGAGAATAAACCACAAGTAAGGTGGCCAAGTGGCCACCAAACATACCAGAGGCCCACAGGGGAAAATGTTCTGAGAAAAGAAAAAATAGAAAGCACAGACAAACAAGCTCCCATGTTCTGAGTCACAACAAACACTATAAGAGTGAGGAAGTGCAATACCTCCGACAAAGTATGAGTTATCAGACCCTTTTAACTTGCTCACATTTTGTCACAATATAACTACAATGTATTTTCTTGGAGCTTTATGAGATAAATAAAATCAAACTGAGTGGAAAATTGCAAAGTTCAGACAAGAGGAAGAACGTTTCTCCAAACTAGAAATCTGAAAAGTGTTGTGTGCATTTGGTGTGCTGAATCAATCATTTGCAGAAGGTTTCTTTTTTTTTTTTTTTGCTGCAGTTAGGCGCATGTCTTTTCCAGCACATCTAGAAACTGAATATTTTGCTCTCTGGGAGAGGCACAATCATCTTCTCTCCTGGAGAGGCACAATTTGTCCTATGAATTATATGAAGCTCTTGATTAAGTCCACAACATGTTTGAACAGACACAGCACCTGGTGAGCCTCCCCCTGATGGCAACACCCAGGAGAGCTTCGAGGACGCTGCGCAAGTCCTAAAATTAACGGGAGTACAAACATCTCACTATACAGATGAGATGAGTCACAAGTTCCAAAAACTATTTTTCAAATCTGAAGTTTAATGTGTTTATTGTGTATGTTTGGATTATGCTCCCCCCTCCCCAACCCCCTTTTTTTTTTTTTTTTGGTGAAATGTTTGAGCATTTTTTAAAATTAGAATCGGTAGATTTATTTTAAATGGGCTGTTTGCTTGACGTGGATCCAGAACATAAGCATGAGGTCGTTCCAGAGGTTAGCTGGCTTCACTCATATCAGAACCGGTTTTGATAATTACTCTTAATTATTGTCTTGTTGGAACATCCAACTCTGTTCAACATCTGACCAAAGCTGTCACAGTGACGGTGAAAATATTTGGAAGAATCAACATATGGAATTCAAACTAAGCGAAAATGTAACCAATTTAATAAAATGTGTCTTCATACATTTGAGCCTGTTTGTGCGTGATCCTGTTGACATTCAGCCTAAAAATAATAAAAAGTTAAAACTTACAAATTTATAACCTACAATGAGTCTGCGTAAACTTTTCAACCAAATAATGTTTCATCATGCTAAAACAATAAACGTTGTCAACATATTAGTCATCTCTGTCTAAAATATCTGCTGTAACGCATCTAAAAACCAAAAAACCCAGTTTGTCATTGAACACTATGCAGCAAGGAAGAGACGCCCTGACGAGATGGTCTGTGTGTTCACCATCGCACACCTACATCCTCTCAGCATGACATAAGATCACACTGAAGCCGGTTCACTATTTTTACCTTGTGGGTTCAGACTTGTTAATCTCCGCTGAACTGTTTTTGGCTTTATGAGGAAAACAGCAGGTTGTCGTCTTTCATCCAACACTTCATTTCTTCATTTCATTCAGAGGAGTAGGGGGCACAGAGTAACCATGGAGACTAAAATAAAAATTATCTATTGGCGCTTACAGGCTGAACCACAGATGATCTTCACAAAATATCTGCTGCTCAGGAAGCGCCACAGGCTCTTACATGACGCTTTGCTGTACTTCTCTTGACCTTAAACACTTCATTACGAGTTTGTTTGACTTAGCAGTTTTACTTTGAGAACTTGGAAATGTTGTATTTAAACTGCAATGAAAACTGAACTCAAAATGTAGAGAAAAGGTTAAAAAGAGACTGCAACAAGCTGACATCACTCACCTTGAAAGTCCAGATGGAAACACTGGGTCTGATGCGGGTTATAAAGCTGCAGCCAGTGAGGAGATTTGCATGTCAAAACTACAGAGAGAACAAAACGCAGCCTAAAGCAGTACTCCCGGGTGACATGCACTCACATGCAGCACTCTTTCCCTCTGAAAGCCTCAATTTCTCCACCGCTGTGAGGAGGCGGGCACAGCAGCGTGAGGGAGCGAGACAAGCTCCAATTAAAACCAAGTCTTCAGCTCATACTCGTTTCAAAGGGGGCGGGATCTGCATCTTTGACAGCATCTTTTCCGTGACGTTTAGCGAAGGAACCCGCCCCCCCCCCCCCCCCAAAAAAAAAAAAAAAAAAAAACAAAAAAAAACAAAAAAAAAAAAAAAAAAAAAAAAAAAACAAAAAAAAAAACCAAAAAAAAAAACAAACAAAAAAAAAACCACTCAAACAACAGAAAGAGAGAAAAGGAAAAAAAAGCCAAATTATTTTACTCGTCATCTTATTTATCATTTCATACTGGATAGATTTATACAGTAAAAATATGCTTTATATGTAAGCTATTAGATGTTAAATACAACAACAAAAACAACAATGATGCTACTGCTTCTACTGCTACTAATTTCCTTGTCTATTTCTAGTTTAATTTTGTCAAACATTATGTTAAACCAAACTAGCTGAGTGCGACAAAAACTATTTCAGAATTGCAGGAGCAACAGGAGGTTATCCTGTGCTGCCACCTGCTGGATAAATGAACGATTTGCAACCTTTCAGAAATTCCAAACGCCAAGATTATAATTAAAAGCCATCCAACCATTCAGGAAATAAATGGTTCGGGTATCTTATGAACAGAAACATCTGAATTACAAATCTAGTCCCCCCCCACCACTCCTTTTTAAAAAAAGAAAAAACAAACAAACACACCGCAGATTTAATCAAGAATGTGTCTTATTTGATTTATTTTCTCTTGATGTACAAAAGTAGACATACCAAGACAATTCAGCAAGACAAGGCTTAAGTGTCTCTCCTCTTCAAAGGCTACATAACCAGACCTGCTTGCTGTCATCATCAAAACATGTTCACTTTGCTTCGAATTCTGTTGTATTTCTTCTAGAAGTCTTTATGAAAATAATAAGGGAGCTTTTTCTATCACTCCTGGCTGCAGGCTTTGATTCTCAAGGACTATCTGCTATAGACAAAAAATAAATAAATAAAAGGCTTTTACGTGAGTCTGCTTAGCTGCAACAGATTAAGAGCAAAGGAGCACATTTTTTGCTTCTCACACTTTCTTTTTATAACGAGTTTGAAGGTTGCTGCAGCACCTGTAATCTGTAGCTCAAAGAGCTGAATTTCATAACAGAGGAATGCAGCACAGCACAGCTCTCTGAGGTCCACTCGGTTTGACTTAGAAAAAAAAATTAATCTTGTTCATTTATTTCTTTTCATCCACGTTAAATGGCTATTTGTTGGAACCATGAAGACATCTGTTCATCTTAATGGACTTAGTGCTTTTCCAACATTCAGTGTTGAAAGTAGAAACATTCTATGAGGATTCCTATAGAAGGAAGTGCATGTTACACTCTCGAACGTGAATTTATTTACTTCCGATTTTATCTGACAAAGCAGCACAAAAACGTGCACATTTGTGAAGTACAAGAAAAACATTTCTTTTTATTTCTTTCCTTAGAACCCCATATAGGGTTCAGCTGTGTGTCATTTAACCTCAGTATGAGTAAAGATGTTCTGTATCGACTGTTAAGAATTAGAGAATGATTGTATGAATGTACTTAGCTTTGTTTTAAGATTTCACTAAATGAAGCATTAGTTGAGTTGTTGCAAAAAAAAAGCTAACTTGTAAGAAGAAGGCCAGGGTTTTTATTTTTGGCATTGTGGAATGCGGGTTTTAATTTTTCATTAGGGAGAAGCAAGTGTGTAAATCAGTGATTTATTAGTGACCAAACAGCATCATAAAGACCAGACTGTTAAGAAATTAAAAGCATGAGGCCATAAAGCAATGTTTCAAAGCTAGAGCTATGTCTCAGGGCGTGTTCATCCAATCACCCAAATACAGAAAAAAACATGACAGAACTGCAGACAAATTAAAACAAAAAAGGGCACAGAATTATGCTGAGGAGATGAATTTCAAAGAAATTGCAAAGAAGCAGCAAAATACCCAGAGTGAAGCACAGAGGTGGAACCATAATGATGTGGGGATGATTTTGTTATGCAAGTTGTGGATGCACTCCACTCCTACACTGAAACACGACAGTGGGAGCATCTTAATGTAAAACTTATCAGTGGTGATAGAAAAATAGATGGACTTGTTAGATCACTATACAAAAAAAAAAAGAAAAAAAATGTTTTTTTTTTTCAAAGTATCATTAAAAAGTGACATTAGACATGCGGTTTGCCATCCAGCAGGGCATAAAGATATATTATGAAGATACAAATTAGATCAAAATATTTCTGTGTCAACATAATTGAGTCAATGACAAGACCCTTTTTCAAATACAAAAGGCTGTAGTTTTGCAAAGCTTGTTGCTAGGTGATAAATTGTTCACGTTATTTAAAGGCAGTTGTAGAGGACAACTAGTATTGCACTTAGTGCAGCTGCTTTTTTCACCCATCTAATTTCCAGATGTAATGAAAAGTCTGTCTTTTACTAAACATATTCAGAACAACCATGTATAATTACTAAAAACAGAGTTTGCAACAAGCATTTGACTCACAAAAAACTAAAATAAAATAAAATAAAAAAAATTGTGACTGAGTGAGCTGCTGCCAGTTCAAGTCCATCTGAAAATATTATTTGCCATTAGCTGGAAAGTCAATGTTCATATTCACCCATGAATATGGTTGCAGTTAATCCCATAAAAGTTGTGTCTTTTCCCAGTGACTACATTGTCCCTCAGGTCCACAGCAGCATGTGTGATGGAATTGTTGAATCTTCGATGTGCCTCTGACTTGCTGAATGAGTTTTGGAGGTCTAGAAGGGTGAGGGTTGTGCCTGTCCTACCTGCAGCCTCTGTACCCGAAAAGACAGAACGCCTCGGCAGGATAGAGACATTAGGACGAGAGCTTCGCAGCCCGCTGCCTTTTGTCTTTTTGTCCTCTTTATTTGATAATGCATCGTGTAATTCGGACCCAAGTGGATATCCGACTCTGAGAGGCTGCTTTTTGATTTGTGGATCTTCTTTTTGCAGCTCCGTTGAGTTTGTCTCCATCTTTACTTTTGCCTCTCGTTGGAAAGAAGACTCGCCGCTCAGGTTACATTGTGTGTTTGAGAGGTGAACGGTGGTGCCTTCACTGCTCTTTGATTCAGATTCTTGCATTAGACTTTCGTCGAATCGAATTTTGCGGTTTTCCCTTTCTCTGCCATGATCAACAGCCCTTTCCTGTAAGATCTCCAGGGATGGATCAGTATGCTGCAGGTCTGTAAAGCCCGTTTCGGACTCTGATTGACTGTGACCCATTTGGCTCGTATCTGTTGCTTTGTTATAAGTAGCCATAAGCTCTTGGGGCTGTTTTTGGTATATGTAAGATGGAGCAGTGCTTTGATTTACATTTGACATTTGGAGACCAGCAAAATTGGGGCTGTCACTCCGTTTTGTCTGCAGTCTTCGTCTACGTCCTGCTCTGGGTTTTGATGGAACAAACACAGGACAGGACGATTCTCTCTGTAACAAAAAAAAAGCATCAGCATTTCAGTTCTACACATGACTGACAAAATTGTAAAATGTGGTTTACCAGAGGTGCGGAGTGTGAATTAATCCCAGTGAGAGTGCTTATTTTCTCCTTGAAATCATCGGTCTTTAAAGGGTTTGCAGGCCCTGATCCTGCAAACATTTAAATCACTTGGTCACTTGAAGCTTCAGAAAATGCTAAAATTCAAATCTGTGTTGATGTGCATCCAAATTTCTAATGAAAATCCTGCTGGCTTCTCACCAGTGAAGTCCATCTGGTAAGACGTGATCCAGAGTTCCCTCTCCAGGTTTCTCAGAATGTTGCTTGTGCGCTCTGATAACGACAGATCCCATTGTCGGAGTTTTGGGTTGGGCAGTATTGTCTTCGGAGGAGCTGGGTAGAAAATCTGTGTCTCCCCTTTTACCGGTTTCGAATGCTGGTGTAAAAATGACGGAGGGTAAGTTTTGACTTCTTTGTATTTGCTATTATTATTGAGCAAAAAATATGCTAAATGCTCACATCCAAAAATCCATTTTCTCCTGTCCATGAAACGGCCATTTTCCTAGATTTAACAGGGTTTTCCAAGATCTCATGTCGGTATGGACCTCCTGTGGCCGTAGACAGAGTGGGATGAAATGAACTAACAGTCAGCAATGAGGCACCTGTCTATTCAAAGACCACAGGTCCCTCTATATGATGTTGTCTCATAATTTCACAGTCAGAAGCACACACTAAGACACGCTTGAAGTTTGAGCAAGTAAATCCTTCTTCAAATCATCTGCATGTGACTTTAACTATTTTATGTGGGACTACGTTGGGGTATCCTAATATAATCCCCGCTCGTAAATAGTTTTAATTATTATTTTTTTTTCCCAATTTTAATTCCTTGTTTTACATTTTCGGTAGAAAAAAACACAGGATTTTAGATATCTTAATTTTTCACTTGATCTGTTTGTTGCAGTTGTGTGATTGTCTTCAAACCATGTCTAAGTTTTCATTAACTTGTCAAGGTCGGTGTTCGACAATGTGACTAACTCAGTGAGTTTCTACAATTTAATCTTAAATTATAACAAAACTCACAGCTGGACAAAAGGCAAAAGTGAGACAAGGAACTTAGAGTGGATGGAAGAGAAGGAAGCCAGCAAAGAAAGAAAAACAAAAACAGGAGACTTAAAAACTGAGGCGACTGAAGTGTGACATTGAAACCAGTTGAGTCTTATCGCAGGGATGCAGGGCGGCTGGGGAAGTAGATCAATTAACATCGAGGAAGCTGAACTAATAAGATGAATCCAATTCGGAAAACACTAAACTCCAGAAAAACAACAACAATAAATGACCCAGGAATGATCAGAGAGAAACTAAAGCACATAAACATACAAATCCTGACAGATCCACCCGTGCATGTATGTATTAAATATAAAAAAGAAAGAATGTATAACAACAATATCTCACCTATAGTTTTGCTGAGCAAAGAGACGTCAGGAGGCTTGTTTGGAACGAGAGGGTTTATGAATCTCTGTGAAGCCGCTCTGACTCCCCTCTCCGGGTCATCCGGGGAGAGGAACGAGGGGAACATGGCAAATCGAGAAATGTGTGACGAATAAGGATGCTCTTTCAGCGTAGCAGTCTTTATCGTTCTCTCGCTGTGAAAGAATAGATAATCAAGAGTAAATACATAGTTTACCTAGAAAAAAGGTGTGAGAAGAAGTGTAAAACTCAAGCATGGCCTTCTAGATAAAATATACTCACAATAAATTTATATCAGTTGGTTTTGGGATGCTGGTTAAAAAAAAAAAAAATACAAACTTTTTCTGACATGATCAGAAACTCCATTGTATTTATTGAAATTTTCTAATCAGTTTGTCCATGACAACTGAACGACAACTCACAGTTGGTCATTGAGGCGAACGTTGCTTTTTCTTCTGACAGCGCTGGTGTGGCACGTTTGAGTGCTGATGTGTCTGCAGACATAAAACCACAGAGAATCAATACGCCACAGCGGCCAGTGATTCTGTTAGCGTCTTCCTGTATTGATCGAACCTAAACCTACTCAGGTATTGTCCCTCCGTACCCCCAGGCAGGAACTCCATTGACGCCAGAAGATGACTTTGGCTTCATGTGGCAGCTGAAGAGAAGGGTTTTACTTGTAATGAGTTGTATGCGTTTTGGGATTCAAACCATGTTTTAGAGGAGAACAACAATGGAAGTGCTTTAAGCTCAACAAAAGCATGAAAAATAAGGTGCAGTCATATTCGCTTACCTCCCAGAAAGATGTACTTCTTAAAGTTTTTTATTTTGAATCCTCCTGTCTTAGATGTCTTCTCCAAAATGAGTCTTAGAGCTGAGTTAGACTGATCTGGACTAGACCCGACTTCATCCTCTTTGCTTGTGACCAGAGGCGGGTTTAAATTTCTGTGGCCACCTGGAAAGAGAGTGCGGCAGTAAACAATAGGTTAAAATCTGGCTGACACCCAATCCATCCACACAAACCGTCACCGCAAATGTCTTCTACGAACTCTAATATCTCACGATGTTTCAGTTTTGAAGTAAGGAAGTAAAATTTGCTGTATAAACTTCATGTTTTTTTTTTTTTTTTAGTCTCTGTAATTCAGGGATCAGGTTGTGTGGACGCTTCCTACCGAGCTCCTGCTTTTGTAGCAGTGGGCAATCACTGCCCAGGATGTCCATCTTCCACTCATCAAGTGTGGATGTGATAATATTACATGTTCACAGCTTGGTGCACTCATACAACTAAACATAAGGTGGAATGAAAATGTAGCTGGATCCAACCAGACACTGACACCGGATCCAAGCTGGTGTTGAGTTTCAGGAGTCACGTTTCAGAGGCAACATGGGAGAGGCTGAGGCAGAGACCTCCAAAGTGGCTTACTGAAAGCCAAAATATAATTAAAAGCCCTGTCAGTAGAAATTACTTTGTTCTCAAAACAGTTTATCATGCTAAACTTCTTGTTTTTTCTTGGACTGATGTTGAGATCTGAGCTATTCTGTCAGTCTGTCTGAACTTTCTTTCTTGCTTTTAACGTAAAGTAGTTACTGCAGACTCAATTCAGGCATGAATGTTGGTCTGAGAAAGCCCTTAATTGAACCCTAAGTTAAAAATAAATAAATAAATAATATTTTCTTCAGAAAAATGTTTAGCACTTTGTTTAAAATTTGACTTAAATAGGTCAAATTATGGGAATTAAGTAAAAATGCAAACCCTATTTTAGACATCAACTAAAACAAACACCTATATCATTGTTGTACCTCTTTTATCTACTGAAGTAAAACAAACAAACAACAACAACAAAAAAAACCCATTAACCATGCTGTACGCAAATACTAAGTACTCAACAGTAGAGGGATTTTAATACATAAAAAATAGTTTGGTCGATTTGTGTTGGCAGAGCCTTTAATGTATGCATAGTGGAATTGGTTCATTTGTGAGATTTTGTGGAATTTGCACAAAGAAAGAAAGAATCCAGTTTCAGATGACAAAACATGTACTTTAGATCCTCTAAAATGAGCAAAACACCTCTTTCATGTCTTTTCTCATTAAATAATAAAAAACCTGAAAACTCTACTGACGTAAAATCAATGCAATTCTCTCTCTCTCTCTCTCTCTCTTTCTCTCCGTTTCTTGACAAGGCACGGACTGCTTTCCAAAGCACCAGAACTCATCTCCTTTCTCAGTCTTACAAAACCCATATTCTGCATTCTGCTTTTTAATTGGGATCCTCAGGAGACCTTGTCTAAAGTCTTTGCAACGCGCCCAAGCCCTATCAAGGAGCCCATAAGCTTAAGTCCGGTAACCAATTACCTCGCTCTGCCTGAGCAGAGCCGTCGCTGTACGGATTACAGTTCATGCTGTGGCTTTACAAATGCTGCAAAGCTTGCAGTGATTTCCCCAATATTAAGTCGTTGTGCAGAAGGAAGCTGGTGCTCACCCCAACAACATTTATAACACAGAGAAATTTAACCTAATCAGACAGCTAACTTGTAAAGTTAACAACAGTTCCAAAGCTGTAAAAAAAGTACTTTCCCAGCCTTGCATATCACTTAATTTTGTGATTTGTGTGACATGTTACAGATCTACAATTATGAAAAGAAATACAAAAAAGTCATTTTATACAGATGACTTTCTTAATTTAATTTAAAAAAAAATTAAATCATGCGTGTAACATTTGTCATCCACTTAATTGACTGAAAGAACTTTTTAAAATTAATCAACCTGTCAGCTACTTAAAAATTTCTAACTACACCCATAGCCCCAGATTTGTTGTACCTCTTAAATTCTTGCACTTTGTTCAAAAGCAAATCCATTTGAATGTTAGCACAGAATAAATATAAAAAAATGGCAGCAGAACACAAAAGGAAGTAAAGGATCCTTCAACTTTTCTTGCAATCAACGCAAAAAACATTCTCTACAACAGTCTCCTCGTGTGAAATTGGTTTGAACAACAACAAAAAAATCTCTTAGAATGATATTCTTTGTGTGAAAATTATTTCCAAACATTATCCTTTCACTGTTAGGGACGCTGCTGGCATTAAGCCCTAGCTGACTGTCCCTTCCTGCCTTGTCAGTGGACTGCAGGCCTCCTAAAAGCAGTTTTGCAGACGTTTCTGATGTTTCTTTTATGCCAGAGAAGGAATGAAAGCACAACATGTGAACTTGGACCTCAAAGCTCACAGCTCTGAAAAATGTTCTTTGTATTATTATTCATTTTAATTTCATGGGTTTTTTTTTTAAAGGGAAGAAAAAAAAACCCTACTTCCAATATCACAGAGGTACAGAGGATGCGTAGGTGTTCGTATGAATGTGTGTGTGTGTAGCTCCAAGGTTAAACACTCATTCTTTTTGCTTCTACTAAATATTTGAAATGATTTTTTTTCCCAGGCCAATCAATCCTATGAAAGCAAAGTTTTTCAAGCTGCGAGCATCAATGTTCTCATATTTATTTTTATGTTATGCAGTTACATTACCCAAGGAAGCTAAGCGCCCTTGAGTTATTCAGAGCTGTTCATAAGGCAAAAGGAGACAGTGTACAGACTCTCTATCTATCTATCTATCTATCTATCTATCTATCTATCTGCTAACAATATTCTTTGTTGTGGTTTTAATTTTAATTTTTATTTTTTTATCTCCCCGGGAGAAAAATCCAATGAATTTCACATGTATTCACACATGGTTCCCATTTCTCACATGTGATCAAATATTTTGTTCGATGTTACACATTGTGTGACTGCCTGGAGCAGTCCATCTGCAAACGTGGAAACATGTGATGCACATGTTCCAAATCCACATGCATACATGTGGATTCTTTCATTCTGACAGACGTGAACATGTGTGTGCCACGAGCGATACATGGTTTTCATGTGTGATTTTCAAATGTGACATCATGGGATTCTTCTAATCAGAAATTTGCCATTTGCTTTTTTGCATGACATGTTTCCAAGAAGGTGGTGTAGTGAGCAAAACTGCAGCAGGAGGTATGTTTTTTTTTTTTTTTTTGTAAGTCTGCCTATCACAAAACCACAACTTGAAGGGAGATCACATATGGCAAATGCAACAAATCAAATCTGAAACATGACAAAGCTCACATTTTCTCGGGTATGTTCCCCACAATCGTACACACACACACACGCACGCACACACACACACAATTTGATAATATCAAAACTGGTTTCCTGCTGATACATCTTGGAAAGTGTTCTCCCTCTCTTCCTCTAGAAATAGAACTAAGGAATCATCAAATTTATGTTTGAACTTTGAATAGGACATTCTGACAAATCATTATGCTTTTTATGTACATCCATCAATTTAACTCTGGCTGTATGTGTGAAGTTGCTTATTGATTTCTTGTCAGTCTATCTGAAAAATTACAGCCACAGTTTAAGGTCTGCTGCTCTCTCTCTCTGGTGACACACAATGAAGAGAGAGAGAGAGAGAGAGCAAAGCGCTGCTCTGCATTTTTTTTCAGTTACTAGGAATAATATATAGACGCCGCATTTTTCTACACCTCTGCACACTTACTCCACTGGAATCCACCACAGACGCAACTCAGGCTTTGACTGACAGATGTTTCTCAGCAGTGTCCCAGGTCGGTCTCAGCAAAAAAAAGAGAAAAAAAATGAATGTGTTTGATGACCACTGTTGGTATTTTAGGAGAGAGTTTGGGAGGCTGGATTAGACGATGCTGGGAATGGATGGATGAGTACAGTTTCTTGGCTGTCTCCGTCTCGTTTCTTTTACCTGCTCAAAAACTCCTCTACTTTTGCACTCTTTCTTTCCGCTGTCAACATGACAGCCTTCGACTTCACGGATGTAGAGGCGTTTTTGGACAGCCACCCGGATCTGTTCGAGGAGTATCTGGTCCGGAGAGCCAAATGCGATCAGGTGAGCAGGTGGCTGAAGGAGCACCAGCCGTCCAAAGTGTCCGCATCCGAGGAGAGGCGCGCCGCCGCCACGGACCCGCTCTGGCCGAGCAGCTCCGATGCACTCCGGCGCAGGTCGTCTCACATGGAGCTGCGGCGGAACTTCGCCCGCTCCAAAGCCACAACCGCGCACCGCACATACGACGAGCATGTGAGCCTGAGCGAGCACGAGTCCCAGTCGAGCATGAGGCGCCGTGCGCTCCTGCGCAAAGCCAGCTCGCTGCCTCCGACCACCGCGCACATCCTGAGCGCGCTGCTGGAGTCCAGAGTCAACGTCCCCCAGTACGCGTCCAGCGCCATCGACTACAAGTACAGACTCAAAGAGACCAACGAGAGGGAGTTCTTCCTGGAGCTGGTGAAGGACATCTCCAACGAGCTGGACCTGACGAACCTGAGCTATAAAATCCTGATCAACGTGTGCATCCTGGTGGATGCGGACAGGTGCTCGCTCTTTCTCGTGGAGGGACCCGCTCACAAGAGGACGCTGGTGTCAAAGTTCTTCGATGTGCACTCAGGCACCACGGTCAGACCCTCGTCCAGCACTCTGAACTCCAATGAAGTGCAAGTGCCGTGGGGGAAAGGAATCATTGGCTATGTGGCAGAGCATGGGGAGACCGTCAACATCTCTAATGCATACGAGGTAAAGGACAGAAATTATTGTTAAAAAAAAAAAAAATCAGTTCTACTTATGAGGTCCCCTAGCAGCCTCAGGTCCCTAAGCGGGTGCTGAGTTTGCTTATGCCTTGGGCCGGCCCTGACAGAAACCCAAACCCCTAATTATTGAAGATAAATGTGTCGTTGTATCAGGCTTGGCAAATTGATGCACCTTCTGCCACATTTCACCACAATGCATAGTATAACAAAGAAAGAGAAAATAAAAAAAAGTAAAGTTGGTTTTTTTTTGAATTCGTACTCATTCATTTTTCCTCAAACCTGAGTAGAAATGTAAATATAAAATATGGCGCAAGAGAAACATAAAATTGCGATGTTCACGTCTCAACTGGCAAGACAACAATGCCCTGACCTCCCATAGACAGCATGGTTGAGTGTTTTTAAGAGAGGATTCACAATTAACCCCACAACTCATAAAAGGTGCTCCTTCAAACCTACATTTTTAACCTGTTTATTTTAAATGTTCCTATTTGTCTCCGTTTAGTGCTCCACGCAGTTAGCCAACACAAAGTAGCTTAGCAGATAACTTTGAAATGGAAGTAAATTTATAGATATTTTTTTATTTTTTCTTTGCAAAGACTAATCTGAAAAATGTGGTAGTAAAGTAGTAAATATTGTCCATGTGTGGGGAATTTAGTCACCTAATTCCAGCTGTTCTGTCAAGGCTATTTTGCAACAATGAATAAGCACAAAATACAAATTTCCATGCAAAGACACTACAGCCGCAGCACTAAAGATTTACCATGTTGAAACAAGGCAATGGCAGCAGTATGCTGTGGAGATCATTCAGTTTTACCAGTTTAAAAAACAGGACAACCCTGAAAAAAAAGAAAAGCAAATGAGAATCTGAGGCAATACCTGATATTCACAGTTGTCTTCATGCACTCTGATGAAGCTTGAACTATTTTGCAAAGACAAAAAAAGTTTCCAGATGAGCAAAGCTGATAGAAATGTAGCAAAGAGCTGAATAGATGGCTCAACAAGTTTCAACTTGGGTTTGGGTGGAACACAAATGCATATAACACTTTCCATATTTTTATCTCTTAAAAATGTGAAATGCATTTAGCACATAAAATCCCACTAAAATACAATATATTAGTTCAAAAGGCATGGACACTTTTGCAAGACATTGCACACCAAGTGCTGTACGAGAATGAAACTCCTCGGAGCAGTTACTTTCTTTTGCAAACAAATCCCCATTAAAGTTTTCATTGAGGAAACGGCAGACAATTGTAGGAGCTTCTCCCTGGCCAGATCTCGCCTCGCGTGCAGCATCATTATCTCATGGCCCTGGGCTGCTGGACCTGCTGAGGCAACTTGATGATGTGGATCCCCCTGCAGAATATTCCTGCATTTGTGCGCCCCAGCAAAGGTTACTGTTAACTTTGACATGAAAACATTTTGCTTCTTGCAGAGCTGGAGATAAAAATTGTGCAATGTTTTTGTTTTAAATGAGGGACTTTGTGAGAGCTGATAGATGTGTAATGTTTGTTTGCATATCACCACCTCCCCCCACCCCCAAATTCCAGGACCACCGCTTCAGTGACGAGATTGACAAGTTAACCGGCTACAAGACTCAGACCATCCTCTGCATGGCCATCTGCAACAGTGATGGAGAAGTCATTGGTGTTGTGCAAGCTATTAACAAAAATCCAATGGGCAACCCATTTACAGAGGACGATGAAAAGGTGAAGCTCTATTGTGCTGGAGGAAAAAAAAAATGCGGAGGCAATTTGTCATTTGTAAAATCCCTTTTGTGGTTTGTGCTACTAAGTGCATTGTAGAGAGAGTGAATGTGCAACTGAAGTGTTTGTACTCTAAATCGTCTTAATGGCTTCAGAGAGGAGCAAATTGTTCCATGTGAAGCAAAATACCAGGAAAAATAAGAGAAAAGGTCAACCTTTTACTCAAGCGTGGAGCGTTAAATGTGTTCAGTAGCGCAATAAACACACACATTTAGGATACATAGTTTCTGTTTTCGTATTCTGAATTGTTCCCTTAGCAATTAAGATAAAATTGGTTTGTAGAAAACAAATGCGTTATATCTTTTTACAGCTCACACGTGTTTTTTCCCTCAGTCTCCCAGTTTGCTAGTTAGCAATTATTAATGTTTACCTTGCTTTTTTTTAATTTCTTGTTATTTCAGCTAAAGTCCATAGAATACTTGTTTTTAAAACAACTGAAAAAGTCAATAAGAAAATGAATACCAGATAAAGAAATGCTGAAGTACTTGATGTGTCCTCTAGGTGGCAGAATAAAGTTTTCTGCAATCAAATTGATCAACTTTACACTCAAATTATTATTTTTTCTTGTCATTTAGGCTTTTATAAAAATAGCACTTTTAAATGTGAATATTAAAGATTACCACAATTAATTCTCATAATCAACTTTTATTGACAAAAAGGAAGGGAAGCAGTCTCGATCTGCCGGCGCATGAAGACATTGAAGGGCTAAAGACTAATTCAATACTTCATTAACAGGGACTATTTGTGCCGAGATAAAGCTGACGCCATCCCGGCTTTCCACCAACACCACCACATGCTCATTCTGCTCCTCTCAACCAGTTTGATGCCCTGTAAATTATCACAGAAATGAGCCATAAATGTCTTTCACTACTTGTACTGCTCCTTTTTCTTAGGTGTTGCAGATGTATCTGCCATTCTGTGGAATATCGATTTCCAATGCCAAGCTATTTTCGGAGTCTCGCAAGGAGTACGAACGGAGCAGGGTGAGATGTTTGAAGGAGTTAGATTATCAGAGCCTGCCGGATCTTTCTACGGGGAGTAAAGAGCTGCATGGGGTTGCTGTTGCCACAGGCGTTGTTGGAGGTGGTCAACGACCTGTTTGAGGAGCAGACCGACCTGGAGAAGATCGTCAGGAAGATCATGCAGAGAGCGCTGACGCTGCTGCAGTGCGAACGCTGCTCGGTACTTCTCCTAGAGGATATCGACTCACCCGTGAGACTCCCGTTTAGTGGATTCTGCTGATTCTTCTTACCTCTCCTGGATTCTCTCCTCTCCGATATTTATTTTAACTTCTAAAGTGAATTGTGTAAAATGCTTCGTAACAGAATGTGTACTGATTCGTACTTTCTCTGTAGGTGGTGAAGTTCTCCAAGACATTTGAACTGATGTCTCCTTTGTGCAACATGGACAGAGACATCAGGTGAACAAGCAGGGATGCATAACGAGCACGGCAAATTAAAGTGCTCGTACTCCTTAAATATCCCCAAATTATGAACATTTTAAAAAATATAATCATAAAATTTAGTGTATTTTATAGGAATTCTAAAGCAATTGCTTGCATTTGCATTCAGCTGCTTTTCCTCTGATATGCCCAAAGAAAATCCACTGCAATCAATGGTGTTCAGAAAACCTCAGCATTATTTACACCACGCTCTGAGCTAATCGGCCATACATATTGAGTTTTTATCGATTTAAAGAAAAACTTACATGATCTTACCACAGTGAAATTTTGAGAAAAGTGCTCATATTCTAATGTTTTTCAAAATCAATGTGTGCAATGATTTGATTTAAAGCCTTCTACTATTTTGAAGTGTTGATTTTCTGAAAGCCTTTATGTTTCAATTGGTCAGTGTGGGGATTGAACCCATGAAGTCAACCAATTTGTAAATAGGGACAACCCATGAAAATCCCAACTTTAAATAGTCACGGTTGTACTTCCTTCTTTTTGTTTTCTCTCTTAATTCGCTAAATCAGCATGGAGAAGTTATCCTGCTCTGACTGGCTCATCAACAACAGCATCGCTGAGCTGGTGGCTTCCACAGGGCTGCCTGTTAACATCAGTGACGTTTGTCAGGATCCACGCTTTGACACTGAGGTTTGGACAAAGTTGTGTATTAACACCTCCAGTTGGACGCTTCTGTTTAAAACCCATAACAATGTGGAGCCATATTTGAATCAACTTGAAAAGGATTCTGAAATTATTCTGTTTCCTGCATTTCAAGGCAGATCAGGCATCGGGTTTTCACATCAGGTCTGTGTTATGCGTCCCGATCTGGAACAGAACTCACCAGATAATCGGTAGGTTGAACAAGACTTTTTATATTTTTTGGAAACTCTGCTTTTGCTGCTCTTAATGTGTACTTTGCTAAGGTGTTGCACAAATCCTGAACCGCCTGGACAGGAAGACATTTAATGATGCAGATCAGAGACTGTTTGAGGTCAGTTTAAGCACTAATACCTTTTGTTTGTGTGTTACTTATAGAGCTTAAGGTATTAATATTAAATTTCTCTTGTTTGTTTTTTTTTTACAGGCATTTGTGATATTCTGTGGACTTGGAATCAACAATACTATGATGTACAATCAAGTTAAGAAGACATGGGCCAAGCAGTCTGTAGCATTGGACGTGAGCAAATTAATTGATTCAGTCCTCTTTTTTTTTCACTCCCCATAATACAACTACAAATCCTGCTCCATGAAATATTGCCTTCTTACAGCCTGCTATTGTTTCAGTTTTGGGATTGCTTTACGAGATCTTTTAGCCTGTTTAATGTCAGACAGATTCTATGTTTGATTCTACAGGTATGATAACCATTTCTTCTATCAGCTAAGTGACATTGAGAAAGAAAAAGGTTATCACAGGTTTTCATGGCTCTATGCAACCCGAGCAATCCTTGTCTAACTTTGAAATTAGACAATCTGAAGTAGTAAGTGACAAAAAGCAAAATCTTCTCGTTTAAACCTTTACAGCTAGTTTACCTTGTTACATACTCATCAAATTTCCTAACTAGTGAAATGTATTTTCCTTTTATTTAGTATGGTACTAAATAAGTATGGTACCACCACGGAGGCTGTTAACATTAATTCTCAGCCGGTTCTGCTCCATTGTCCAGTATCTAACCTGAGCAGTCAAAATTATCCTCAGAAAAACATGGTTCTCCTTCTCCTCAATAAATATTTCAGCTGCTCTCAATAATTCACAATAAATACATCATCACCCTCTCTGCTTAACTGGTATCAAAGACAACACACTGCCGGATCAGCCTCACTTATTCACTGCCGTCTCTTTAATTACCAGGTGGAGACATTTTACAAGTTAGTTCACAAAAGAATGTGACAAAAATTGAAAAGCGCCGATCTGATCCGGACGTAAGGAGATAAGTAGGACAGGCGGAAGATTAGTGGAAAAATATTTCCTGTAATCTTGTGTTGATGAAAACAATGGGGTGGTATTAGAATTTGAATCAGTCTTCTGTGAAATGTCTGTTTTTTTTTTTCAGATGTTGTCTTACCATGCTACCTGCTCCAAGGTGGAAGTTGACAGACTGAAGGTAATACATAAACTAAATCCTTTTCAATTAATTTATAAATTCAGTAGGAGTAGTGAGAGCATAAAAACCTGCCAGTCACCGCGGGTTAAAATTCTAATTAAAACGATGAGTGTGCTGTTCTCTGGAAACGTTTGACTGACAGCTCTGTCCTTTGTCCTGTGAAGGCTGCAAAGATTCCCCTGAGCAGTGAGCTGGGCATCGATGAGTTCCACTTCAACGATTTTTCGCTGGACAATGACGCGATGATCACGGCGTCGCTCAGGATGTTTCTGGAACTCGGTGTGGTTCAAAAGTTTAAAATTGACTATGAAGTGAGACGGCATTCCCTGCAAGGCGTTTCTTTTTCCGTGTGTTTCGTGTTTTGAAGTACACGGAGGTGCGAAATGCTCATTTCTCTCTCTTGCAGGTTTTGTGTCGCTGGCTGCTCACAGTGAGGAAGAACTATCGAACTGTGGCGTATCACAACTGGAGGCACGCTTTCAACGTGTCGCAGTGCATGTTTGTCATGATCACAGTAAGCTTTTAGACAAAATGGTTTCAGCTTTTTAAAAGACGTTATAAAAATACCAACATGCTAGTATTACCAAGACTGATTAAACTGAATAGTTCTGAAACTTCACTCACAGTCAATGACTTGTATGCAGACCGCCACTTTCCAGGACGTGCTGTCAGATGCAGAGATTCTGGCCCTGATGGTCGGCTGCTTGTGCCACGACTTGGACCATCGAGGCACCAACAATGCATTTCAAGCCAAGTGAGCTACATAAAGCCCTTCACGGTTATGAGCGCGTTCCTTACGAGTGACTGAACCACTGATCCGTTATTCCTCCAGGACCGGTTCTGCTCTGGCCCTGCTCTATGGGACGTCAGCAACCCTGGAGCATCACCACTTCAACCACGCTGTCATGATCCTGCAGAGCGAGGTCAGGCAGAATATATCGATTAGATTCCTCACTGTGATCTGTAGACACAGGTGACATTAGTTATCAGGCACGTGCAGAGGGGAGCTGGGGGTGCTTGAGCATCTGCCCTTTT